CCTGAAGTCCTTTCCACTGAATGACTGACTGGATGAGGGTACTATCTTCTGAAAAGAGCCAAAAAGCAAATATTTTCGGCTCTTCAAGACATAGGTCTTTGTCATAACTAGACCACTATGCTGTTGCACAGTTAAAGTAGTCATAGATAACAGATACAGCAATAGGCAAGGTGGTGCTACAGTAAGAATTAAGATACAGGCTGTGCTACCGTAAGACTTAGGAAAGTCTTACTGGAATCCTAATTCCATCATAATTATTTTATTCTTTTCAGCATAGTTAAGAATTGATGAGTAATATTGCAATAATTCCTAAAATAATGAAATGGGAAAACGTATTAAGATAGAACAATATATGAACACTAAAATCCCAAAATGTATTTTAAATTTACAAAAGTGTCCAAAAAACCAACATGGTAATTTGAAGATCAAATAAACTTTATGAGAAATACAGCTCAGTTTTCTTTATTCTTTTGAAGAATAAGTCATGAAATTTCAATCCTTACAAACAGAACTGCTCAAAATAATTCAGAAATGAAAAATGGTCCAAGGAACTGATTGTACAGTGTACACCAATACATACAGTCAATTATGTGACTTTGATTCAGTAGTTATAAGGTCTGAGATTCTGTAAAAGCAAAAAAAGAAAATCTCCAGGGTCTTTTTTTTTTTTTTTTTAATGTCAGGTTTGGGAACTACTAGGCTAGGAGTTCTCAAAGTATATATAGCCCCCTAACTAACCGCATCAGCATCAACTAGAAACTTCTCAGAAATGCAAATTCTTGGGCTGCAACTCACATTACTGAATCAGATATCCTGCACCATGTGAAGAGCAGCAAAATTTATCTTTCAGGTGATTCTGATGCCAGCTAACTTTTGACTTCATTAGCCTAAGAAAGGTCCCTCCCAACCACCAAAGTTGGACCAGGGGGTACCACACAAAGTTAAACCAATTTCTTGAGATTTAGGGGTCCTAATGTCTGGTGCTTATTACTGCTTCTATATGTTAAGGAGTCCTGTAATGATTTCATGACTAATAATTTAGCTGCACATGGCTAATTCTTGCCAATAACCCATTCTTTTTCTGCCTTGCTATACTACCTAGACTGTCTACCATATAAAAATTGTAATACAGACTTTCTTGAGTTTTTGTTTAGAAGAAAATAACATTGATAGGCACAGGGTAGTTGAGAATACTACCCTGAGGAAGTAACACATAAAAAATTAATGGTTTTTGGCATATTATAAAAGTGCAATAGAGGATGTTACTGTTAATTATTGAACGATACTATTCTCTAAACTTAAATTTGTGCTTTCCCTTAAACAAATTTTTTCTTATTGCAAGTTACACTTATACAGTGCAGAAAATAAAAATAGAAACAACCAATCAATTCGGAAACTCAGATAAACTAACATTTTGATTATATTCTTCCAGTCCTTTTAGGCTTTTGTTTCTTTCTCTCTCTCTCTTTCCTTAGTAATCATTCTTTCAATAATACAAACAGATAACACAATTTTACAAAAATTGTGCTACAGAACAGGATATTGGTGACTTTTTAAATATTAGAGCTACCCCACCCAGCTCCAGATAGCACTGCAACATTTCCTTAACAGATGATAGGTTCAAATTATAAAGTCCACACACTGGCTAAAAAGTTCAAGTTCAGAGTTTCAATCAATTGTCACGGTAAGAATAAAACTGAATTTTACTCAACCTGTATCTTTTTAAGAGGATGGGCCACCTCCAATACATCCTTTCTCTTGGACATTTTTTAACACTCTAATGTTCTGTACCATGAAATCAGGATGGCTGAAACAAAATCTACAGGTACTTTTTAGAAAGCAATTCCCCAAGTGATTGTTACCCATACCAGAATGAGAATTGTTGCTATAATCTGTTCTTACTGAGTGCTATGCCAAACTTGGACTAGGATTAAATTGCAATAAAAATTCTGCAGTATACAAAATTTTTATCAGTCTATCTAGAAAGAGAGAACTACTCTTTCATGGTAGAGCAGTCACTGTGTTCACATTTATTTTTTATAAAAATCAACTTACTTTCAAACAAAGAATTGAGGCAATTTGCGGTAAATTTTAAATATGAGTCATGGAAATATCAAGATAATAGCATGTATGGGCAGTAATAAGTATGCCAAAAAATTAAGGGTAATATACAAAACAATCAAACATTATTACAGCTGGCTATGAGGTTCCCAATAAACAGTGCAAAATAGCGAAATATAATAAAATCATTATCATCTGACCAAAAGCTGCCTGATACTTTTCTCAAACATAATGGATTACTTCAACATTTTTTAATTAAATATTTCAAATTCTTTCTTCAGGTGAAAACTTTTTTATCACCTGTAAAAACGATATAACTTCATAGGCATTTCCTAGGGGTAAACTAATGAATGAGGCAATTTTTCTTGATATCTAAATTAATCAACTCAGTGTTGATTTAGATGGAAGTCAAGTTTGAGAGAACCATCCTACCTTTTCAGCTATCAATTATCTCAAGAGGAGTTTTCACCAGAGGAGAGCAGTCAATTCAAAACATTCTGTAAATAGGCTAACTTGTATTTTTCTTGAAAACAGTAGAGAATTGCAGCTTAGAAGAAAAAAGTGTTACCACAATCACTTCCATCTTTTCTTCTGTTTTGCTTTGAGACAGAGTCTTATTCTGTCACCCAGGCTGAAATGCAGTGGTGCAATCTTGGCTCACTATAACCTCTGCTTCCCCAGTTGAAGTGATTCTCCTGCTTCTACCGCCAGAAAAGCTGGGATTACAGGCCTGTGCCACCATGCCCGGCTAATTTTTTTTTTTTTTGTATGTTTAGTAGAGACGGGGTTTCACCATGTTGTCCAGGATGGACTCGAACTCCTAATCTCAAGTGATCCACCCACCTGAGCCTCCCAAAGTGCTGAGATTACAGGTGTGGACCAGAGCACCAATCACCTCAATCTAATAAGAACTTAATCACCTTGGTGCTGTTTCACTGAAACAGATTTTTAAGAATCCTCTTCTGGTAGAGAAGACTACTCTCTATCCACATGTTACAATACATATATTTGCTGTAACTATTCTTTCTTTAAAATTAACCTCCAGGAAACTGATTGTATTAGCCCATTAAATGATACTTACTATTTTTATTCTCCATCTGAACACTGGAGTATTGGCTCAAAACAATGAGCTTTGTTTTGGCCTAGTTGTTGGGTTTTTTCCTTTCCCCACCATTAAGATGCAACACTTTCTGCTTATTTCTGACTCCTAATAGTAAATTCATGCCATTAGCAAAATCTTAATAATTTTCCTATATGCTGTAAAAATATTAAGTATCATGCATACCTAAAAGCAATATGGGACTACTTAACCCTAAGTGGAAAAGGAAGCAGGACCATGTCAAAAGATCTAACACATTCCTTTCGATATTGAGCAAGCCATTCCTTTAGATAACAATTGCCACTCATTCTATTCCTAAATGAGAAACCATGACAACTTTTAAACAGCAAAAGGTTAGAATTCATGACTAGTTTGAAAGATTCTGTTTCCACTATATCAAGAGATGACAGATCAATAAAAGCTATGAAAAGCCTAACACTCCTGGCTTATTTCTAGAGATCAAGCAATGTAAAATGTACACTGATAAAATGAGTAACTAAAAATCATGTTTTCTCATGCAAGAAGGTGACAAGAACAGACAAGTTTCCATGCAATATCTAGGAAACCAACTTCTTTGTGAAGATAAAGGGTTCATATTTCACCTTCTGCCCATATCACCATATGGGTAAAGAGCCATAAAGTGGTAGGTTACAGAGTTTAGCAAAGATTGGGAGACGGAAGGACATGTATGACAGTATCTCAACCACCTATCTACATTGATCAAGTCAAATGATTTAAAGTGATCACATCAAATGACTTGTTTGATTCATTTGATCAAATATAGAGTGATTAAGTTTGATCTCCCCCATTTAGAGTGATCAAATCAAATAAATTATAGCAAAAAGAAGTAAAACATGCTGGACAAGTAAAGTTTTTAACTCTTCAAAATCATTTTGGTGGAGAGAAATGTAGAATAATTTTTTTCACCGGAAACCCGTGAACTACATAGCATTCAACAGACACTGCAGAAACTGAGGTCTGACTCCCCTAGTCATTAACCTGTGCAAGGATAATCAATGCTTAAAAAAAAAAAATGCTACACATAAAGAAATTTGAACTTAAATTCCTCCTAAAGCCTACTTAAGACATTATTTACCTTTGCTAAGATAGGGAGGAAGTTCTTTTGCTTTTAAATTCCAGAGAAGAGTTGTGGTAAACCTCTTCCAGAAGGTAATCAGGAAACGTTAAATATTCTCTGGACCTGAGTCACATGCAGTTGTGTTTAAAATGTATTACTAGTGTGTGTGGTACATACACACACCAGTACCCGTAAAAAATTATTATTGCTTAAGACAAAAACAAAAAAGGAAAAAAATATTACTGCTTTTTTGAGACAGGGTCTCACTCTGTGGCCCAGGCTGGAGTGCAGTTTAACAATCATGGTTCATTGCAGCCTTGAACTTCCCAGCTTAAGTGATCCTCCCACATCAGCCTCCCAAGCAGGGATTACAGGCACAAGTAAAACCACACCTGGCTAATTTTGTTTTATTTTTTGTAGAGACAAGGTCACGCTATGTTGCCCAGACTGGTCTTGAACTGCTGGGCTCAAGTGAGTCTATAGTCTCAGCTTCCCAAAGTGTTGGGATTATACATGTGAGCCACTGCACCCGGTCCCATTAAAAAATTACAACAAATGTATTTTTGTATATATGTATACACACACTCCACATATATATAAAGGAAATCTAATACATTTATCACAAACATATGCAAATGAAAAACATAGGACTGAATGACTGCACCTAGAAATATATTAAGTATTTTATCCCAAATTTAGTTCAAACATCTGGAAACACAAAAGTGAGCTCAAAACCAAAGGAAGCGACAATTAAGTCCATACCTAATAGCCCAGTGTCTACATCATCTTCATTTTTCAAATTCTCAGCATGCAACTCTGTAAATACAAAGAGGGGCTTAGGTAGGAAAGTAATATAATTTGAAAAGTAACTCAAGGGCTGTGAAGGCACTGTAGAACTGTGGAAAGTGCTCTGATGTCAGTTAAGAACTGGGCTCAAAGTCTGATTCAATTTACTAGCTATGTGACCTTCACCAAACAAGTGAACAGTGTTGACCACTAAAGGAGCCAACAGCTATGTACTGTACATAAAATGGGAGTACTGTTCATTCCCTAGGGGTGTTGTGAAGGCTAAAAAGCATACTAGGTCGACTTCAGTTCCTTTCTCCATTCTTCAAAATAAGCACAGTTCAATGTCTTCTGCAACTGAATTACACTTATGGTTTTGTGACTTTATGACACAAAGGCAATGTCTGAGCAATACAAATAAACCACCCAGGAGACAAAACTATCAGGATTGAAAAAAGAGAAAAAAGGGTGGGGGAAAGGAATGATAAAGAAATGAAACCTTGGCAGCCAATCATTTAAGACTGACAGTTTACGTTTTATGAACATTCACAGTTTAGCATTTTATGAAGAGGTAAAAGGTTTTAGACCCATGCCATCTGCAGCCCACTAAAAGCTGGGAAGCAATGAGGACAAATAAAAACTGGAGTTAAATAGATTTAATAATTAATTAAGTACAAAGGTAACACTTCAGTGACAATGTTTTGAGTGCTTTTCATACAACAAAGTTCTTGTGGTTTTTTTTGAGTAACTTGGCAAAGGTCACAAACTAGTGAGAATGGAAATTTAAACTTAACTTTGCTTCTTTCCACTGCAATATACACTGGTCAACTAAATTATACATCCATATGCCTTGGAATAAACTTTCAACTGGCCAAAATTTCAACTTCAGACAGAAAAATAATTAGAGGAAGAGTGCACTACACCTGGATACAAACTTAAATGCTAAGGGGCTAATTATTTTACCTACAAAAGTAGAAACTTGGACTATGCGATGGAAATCTTTGTCCCTCAGGATTCTATGTACAGCGGAATTGGTGGATAGCACATCTTTATTTGTCGATGAAGGCCACTGAACATATAGCCTATTTTAATTATACGCACTTTTCATAGTCTCCTTTTAATGGTGGGTGTTTCGCGTTTTGTTTAATTTTGCCAATATTCCATCTCCCATGTTCAAGGACTCGAAGATATTTCTTCAAGAGTGCCCATTTAATCAAAAGATCCTTTTAAAAGGGTCTCCTGATCATGGATTAGGACTTTCCAATTAGAAAAGGCAAAGGGCTAGATAGCAAAGAAAGATGCAAATAAGGATGGGTGAAAGCAGCTGCCAGCCTGCGGGCTTTGGCAACGCGAGGGAAAAGGAGATGGGTGCAGGCGAAAGCCACACCCTGGCTCAACTTAGAACAGACTTTCAAGGCCTTGGCTTTAATACCTTTAACGATCAAGTAGGCGATGGCGAGGAGGAAGGCGAGAAGGATGGCGAAGAGCAGCGAGCAGAGAATAGAAAGGACCTGGACCGGCCACCGCCGTGGCTGGGCTCTGCTGCCCGCAGCCGCCGGGAAGATACCATTGCGTTTATCGGGCAGAACGGGAGACCCGTCCGCGGCCGGCGGGAGCTGCGAGCCTTTTCTGGGCTCTGACCACGCCCCAGCCGAGAACTCCGCCCGCAAGTCGCGGGCCACTTGGTCGCATCCCTCCTCGTCGACTTCGCCTTCACCCCAACTGTCCCCCTGAGTAAAGGAGGAATACTTCGGCCGAGCCAAAGGGGCCGGGGTGCCGGGACCGCGGCGGCGCAAAGCCGACCGCCACCCGCTCTCCACAAACGACATGGCGCGAAAGACAGCGAAACCCGCGGAGAACGAGCCTCTCCCATCCGCCCCGCCCCGTGTCCGCAACAGCCAATCCGCGGCCGGGTGTCGCCCTGGCCGCCACCACCAGGCCTTGGAGTCCAGGGGTGGACTGCGGAGAGCAAGGGTGGGCGGCGTGGCGCAAAGGAAGCCGTAGGGCCAGAGTACAGGCGGAATGCTCCTGGGCCAGAGCTTGACCCCAGAGCTGTAGCCGGAAGGGGGAGCAGGAAAGCGCACAGGGACAAGTGAGCGGAAGCCAAGGGCAGTCGAGTCTCGACTCCCTGCAGCCCTTCGTCCGGGCCGGAGACCTCCGCCACAGCCGCGTCACCAACGTGAGCGCGCGCCCCGACCTCCCCAAAGCCGCATCTTTCCAACGCTGGGTCCTAGCGCCTGCTCGCACCCTCTGACACACATTCCCGAACCTATTTGCTCTCTCCTTTCTTCCCCGCTACGCTCACACTCTTCTCCAGGTTCCCCAATTAAGGGCAGCTCTCTGTCCTGCGCTCTCGCGGTGCCTTAATTACTCACCCCTATCTCCCTTTACTGTGGTTCTCCCCAACCGTACCACAACTTCCCTCACGCTGCTCGACACGCCTCCTTCCCCCAGCCCCAGCGCGCGCTTTCCACCTGGTGCGTACTAAGCTCGAACCCTCGCCTCGGAACTCCACCTCTCACCTTCCCCGCCCGCCCCCTCAGTCTCGAGCACCGCGCGCGCGCATTCGGCCCCAGCCACCGCTAACGCTGGAGGCTGCTTACTCCCGCCCCCTCCACCCTACTCCTGGCGGCCTCAGGTTTGTGGGGCGTACGTAACTCTGGCGGGGAGGGTGAAGGTGGCAGGCCCCCACTGCCCCACCCCCTACGGGGTGAGGCGGTCTAAACTCGGGAAGCTGGGACACGGCTGTCTTCCCTTCCCCTGGGGAAGTTGGTAGAGTTTTCCCGACGGAGGACTCGGCGCAGAAACTTCCTCCGTCCTCCTCCCCACTCCATGCAGGCGACGTCGAGTGAGGCTGAGGCTGGGGGCGAATCGCCGCAGAGCTGCGTGTCGGCGGCGCATTCTGATTGGACAGCGGGGAAGCCTGTCAGCCTGTTGGCCCCGCTGATCCCGCCCCGTAGCGCAGGGCAGCCTTTAACCTTTAGCCCCAGCGGGCGCCAGCCACTCAGATCGCTTCTTGTTGGTATGTGTAGCGGCAGTGGCCGCCGGCGGAGCAGTCTGAGCCCGACGATGAGGCCAGGGACGGGAGCTGAGCGTGGAGGCCTCATGGTGAGTGAAATGGAGAGCCATCCTCCCTCGCAGGGTCCTGGGGACGGGGAGCGGAGATTGTCCGGCTCCAGCCTCTGCTCCGGCTCTTGGGTCTCTGCTGACGGCTTCCTGAGGAGACGGCCCTCGGTAAGGGATCAGTGGGGCAGGGGGTAGGCGGCACAATGAAAAACGGAGTGAGAGAAACAGGAAGCTTTCTCCGAAAGGAGAAGATAAGAGTGGACGAAGGAAGAACTCGAGATGGTGGGATATGTTCTGAGGGAGAGAATTGGAGGGTGGGGTTACACAAAGAGAAGGATGGGAGACCCTAGAAGTTCCCCGTGGGCTTGGCCTAAACAGATGCGTAGTGAAGGTGCTGGTTCTTGGGCGGGGTGAGCGTCTTGGAGCTTTAGGCCCGATTTGGCTGCGAGGGGGAGCAGGGACTTGATTCTGTAAGACTTTAATAGCGACTGCCAAAATTTGTTTTCATTAGTCGTGGTGGTGGTCTGCAGGGGGAACTCTTGGGACAATTGGCAGGAGATAATTACCTGGTTTTAATTTAAAACATGGAACAATGGGTTCATCGGTAAAGAACGTAGTTGTGTTTTTAAAGTGCGTTAAAATGGATGAATTAGTTATTTGCATTTAGTGCCCGTGAGTGACAGAATCTTAGTCTTTGAAATTTATTTTTGGCAGAAGAATTTTAACTGTTTTAAAGGTTGTGTTAGAAAGTAAGTTTGTTAGGAATGAATTGACCCTGGGTACCCATACTGTTTGTGTCTTAAAAGACCGGATCTCTCACCTGAGTTAATTTGACAGAGCATTTTAAAGTTTAAAATCAAGAGTGTTACAAAATAACAATAGCTGGCTATCTTGTATATCTGCATGAAATAGAAGAGTTGTTGTGTTCACCAAAACAGTTTTAAAATTAGCATTTAATATATATCCTTGAAGCTTAGTAAGCCAATTAGTAGCTGATTAAGTCAATGCTTAAAAAATAAAAAATAGAAAACCTATGATGCAGCTGTCCAGTAATCATCTTAACTTTTCCTGTTTTGTTATGGAATTTACAAGCTCGTTTTAAATACTAGCAGAATGCATTTTGTTTAAAGTATAGACTGATCCAATTATGTGATTACACATAAGCTTAGTATTGTCGCAGATAACTGCTTTGTTGAAATGAGATTTTTGAGAAGCACTTAGTGTTATTTGCTCATTTAAAAAATGTTCACTGTTTTTCAGATGGGGCACCCTGGCATGCATTATGCCCCAATGGGAATGCACCCTATGAGTCAGAGAGCAAATATGCCTCCTGTACCTCACGGAATGATGCCGCAGATGATGCCCCCTATGGGAGGGCCACCAATGGGACAAGTAAGAATGTTTTTGTTTTATTTTGCACTTATTTGTTTTTGCCTCAGATATTCTGTCAAGATTTCAAAATCTAGGTCAATACTTATAGTTATTTAAGAATTAGTTTTTGCCCCAATAATTTCAAATAAGCCAAATGTTGAATCATGACTAACGGAAATTTGAATGTAATGAAAAAGTCTGAGAAATGTACTGATGACCTCAAGAAAAGAATTTTTTTCTTTATTATTTAAAAGTAACAGTGTGCATCCAGGCTTTTATTTTTTAATGATTATTGTTTCAAGCATGCCAGTTGAAGTTAATGTTCTAAGAGTAAATATTATCTGATAGAGCAACATAACTGATTTTGGTGGACCATGTAAATAAATAGAATTTGAAAATAGCAATTGTTTAGGCCTTTGGCTTAGAGGGGATTTTATTCCTGAAATATCTTCCTCTTTCTGTGCTGGAGGAGGCTGAGGAAGGGTAGGGAGTTTGTGCTCTATAGTTCTGATTGTTCATAGGACAGTGCCAAATAGGTAGTTCATTTTCCACTTACACTATTTTTTTTTTTAATGCTTATTGCTTGTACACTCCTGCTTTTGAGCTGTCCCTTCCATCTCTAGCATAAATTGTAAATGGACATTTTGTAGGAGTGATTTGGATCAATAGGTTTTAATGCTGATTTAGTGATTTTGGTAGAACTGAGTTTCTAGAGAAGCATCCAAGAAAGGTAACAAGTTCAGTTACCAGGAGTAATTTTGTGCTCCATGTTAAGTTCTATAATCTTTTGGTAGCTGGGTTATTTCCGTTTTGAGTATTTCCATAAATCATCAAAAATTTAGGCTAACAAAATATTTTGGAAGCCAATTTCATGTGATCTTTTGCTAATTAGTATTGTTTGATAATTGTTTAAGCTTTCATGGTTAAAGTTATTGGTGAAATTGCAGTGGGAAAAGGAGCTTGCTATGTGTCTGTCTCTTTTTACTTAACCTTAAGAGTAGAAGGGCTTAATGTCAAGTGATTTCTTTTTTTTTTTTTTTTAATTTGAAAATTTCCCCTTTTTTTTTTTTAAAAAAAAAAAATTGTTCTAAGGCACCAGCCCCGAAAGATTCTGCCTGCAGTTCTTTAAATAAAAGAGCCTTTTATTCTGTTACTCTAGAATAACACAAATTTTAAAACTCTCTAGGTGATGGAGAAACAACTTTGATTCCTCTTCTGTTTCTTTCCATCTCTAAGCAGCAAGGAGCTCTTCTTGTTTTCTTGGTAGAGCTGCTCTAACTAGATAATGAGCTTTAAAAATATTTATTCTTTAAATGCTCTGGTTCTTATTTAAAATTAGTTTCTTTCCACAGAAAGATAAAATAAAACAATTTGCTACTGCCAGATGCTTCTCTCTTTTCTGGGGCCTTCTGTTTCCATTGGGCCAATCAAGGTAAGTTTTGCAAGGGATTGACCTGCTTACCCTTGCTGTAATGGTGCTATTGCACTACCAAAACCAAGATACCAGCTAGTCATATTTCCAGTTAAAAAAAAAAAAAAAAGAAAGAAAAAATGCAGATTTTATTTTTTAAAAGTACTTTCATGTATCTCATTGACATAAGCTGGTCACAGTTTGCTTTATGGCCCTTTCTCTTTAGCTGTATCAGTGACCATCTTTGTAGTAAGTTTACTAGCTACTTGGTACACATCCATTCAAGTAACTAATTTTTTTTTTTTTTTTTTGGTGTGGTTTTCTTCTGCTTTTTCCTAGGCTAATATATGCCATGTGCCTTTAAGTATATCTGATTATTTAGATGTTTAGAATTCTTCTCCCTCTGAAGGCTCCTGCTTGTATAATAAATGAATGTTTTAGTAAGAGTTATGCTTTGAAAGTCCCAAAAGAATCTCCACTGTTTTTGTCAGAATAATATCATTCCCTTTTCTCCCCTTAATATCTCACTAACAAATATAGGGCCCAAATCTTGGTAAAACAAATTCTTATTTTAGCTTTGTAACAGACTGGGAGAGCATGGATAATTTGAATTCTCAAATCAGAAATCTTATTTGAAACTCTGTAAACATTGCTTTAAAAATTAAAGGTGATAACAAATAGCACCATTGATACTTTTTTCCTGTATTTTTTCTTCTGCCACTCTCAGAAGTACTGATGAGCAGTAAGTGGTCAGAAGATAATTGAGAAGAAGCAGGATGTCCGTGTCATTCACAGTAGTGACAGTTGGGAGGGTTCTGCCATGCAGTTTTAAAAAGTTGATTCACAAGTTCTTTAGACTTTGGGACTGAAGGTTATGAAAACCTTCATGTATTGACTGGTTTGCATGAACATCTCATGCTGGGACCATCTAAAGACTAACATTGGTGGCAGTTTTACTTGCCAAATGATTGTGGTCTTTGGAATGTTACCAAATATGACATGAAATTTTAAAACTTGTTTGTAAAATGATACGCAGACTGTGTAGCATAATGATGTATGGAAGCAGGGTTCATAATTTCTCAAATGCATCAAATTATTTACCTTAAAGAAGTGGTCTGGTCAAATTTTTTTTAATTCATGAGATGACCTAGAATGCCATCTCATGCATTTAGGCTGACTGTTAGTAGTAATAAATGT